TCCATGCAAACGTGTGCGAGCGATATTTTCTGCACTCTTCTTGATCGTGCGAACGGATACGATTCATTCGCTCTCCGGCGGCGGAATCAACGGCTCCAACGAGCAGCGGCCGACCACGAACCCTATCGTAAACGTAACGGGAAGCAGAATCAGATGCCCTAACGCCGCGGGAATGGATGGGAGGCATGAGAAAGGCTTTTGCCAGATCGCCTGTACCTCATGCGCGAGCCGTACCACGCGATATTTAAGCAACTTCGACTGTAGCAGCATAAAATCGGAGGATAGCTGACTAGCCATGTCGATATTCTCCCGCTGACAATACTCCATCGCCTCCTTGAACGTGCGCTTTTGATTGGGTTCGTGAAGGAAATTGCTCACCGCCTTGCGCGCTACGGCGGGGGTCCGACGAAACATGGCTTACCTTTTAGTTTTGGTTTGTTCGTTTATACAAGTGTATGAAAAAAAAGCGTTATGTATATAGCTATATACTTCCAATTCAATACAATACCCAATAAACTAACCAAAGAAGCGAGAGGAATGATTCATAGACACCTCCGCTTAAAAGCATTCCATTTTGATACATTAAACCAAATATCTATATCTATATATATATGATAATAGCATGAGAAAATAATACTGTGATGCTGTTTCCATGCAAGCTGATGGCCACCATGCCACCTTTTTTTCCCTACGGATTATACCCCCCGACGTCTGCGAATGGATGTGTGCGGGGAAGGAAGGAGCTACATCGATGCAACGTCCATACAGAAATGCGAAAAATAAGAAGTCATCCCTTCCCATATCTAAACAATTCCATCTCGTCGAATCCCGATTCCGTTCACCGGAAAAAAAAAAGAACGATCCCCATTCGAAGAAGTTCCACATCTCCGTGTAGTTCTCGCCAAAAGAAAACCAAAGAAAATCGCCCGCGCAACGCGAGGAGGGGGGGAGGGGGGAAGGAAAGGAAAGGAGCCGATCCACCTCACAAATCCCGTTGAGGCGGCTCACCCCCACCCACCTCGTCTTCTTCCTCGCGTTTTTGCCGTCGAAGCAAGGAATCATAAACGCGATTGAGAAGCTGCTGTTGAAACTCCGCTGGGGTGGCAGGAAGGGGCGCGGCGGCGTCGTCCGCGTGGTCTAGGTCGATTTCCATTTTCGTTGTCCTCCCCCCTTCCTCGCCTGGCTCTTTTGGATCCATGAAGAGGGGGTGGGGTCGTTGAAGGGCGTCCGCGAAGGCCCCGCGCATCCTCGCCATCTCCGACGGCGGCAGCTTCGGGAAAACGACCCGACGATCAACCCGACCGGGGCGAAGCAACGCCGCCCGGGCGGGAATCCTCGCCGCGTTGTTCGTCGTCATCACGAGAATCCGCCCCTCCCCACTCGCGACCCCGTCAATCGCGTTTAAAAACCCACTCAACGACACACTCGCCTCCCCGGCGCGGGCGATCTCCGTGGAAAATCCCTCGCCTTCACCTTCCGCGTGGGCTTCGGAAGGGGTCGGAAAAAAGGGGGGTCCTCCTACGGGGGGGGGTTTCCCCTCCCGGAACCCCGCGCGGGCCTCCGTCGCGATCGCGTTTTCGAAATCCTCGACCAACAACACACACCGCGCGGGGAGGCGGCCGATGTGATGCAGCAACACGTCATCGGAAAGCCCCGGGGCGCGGAGGGAGAGCACGAAGACCGGCATCCCCAACTCCCCCGCGAGCGCGAGCACGAGGCTGGTCTTTCCCGTTCCCGGGGCCCCTTCAAAGAGGTAGCCACGCCGCCAAGGAATCCCCAGCTTCGCGTAGAACCCGCGAAGTCCGAAGAACGCGCGGACCTCCTCGACGACGGCGTGCGCGGCGGGGGGTAAAAAAAGCGTCTCCAACGGCCGCCGCGCGCGCGTGGCGAGGGGGATCCACCCTTCATACCCACTCACGCCGTAGATCCGGACCCCTCGTTGAACATGCACCCGCCAGGAGTTTCGCACCTCCGCGAGGAAGCCCTCCACGACCTCGCGCCGCCGCGTGAAGGCGGTGATCACGAGGAGGTCGTCCTCGCGATCGACCCGGTGATCGCCGGCGCGGTGGGCCTTTGCCGGGTCCGGGCGCCGCGTAATCCACAGCGGGACGCCGTGGAAGCGAAAGCGATGCCCGCCATACCCGGGCACGAGGCTCATCCGAGCCTCCGAGCCGGCTCCCTCCCGTTCATCCAAAATCGACACCGGGCGCAGGGTGAGGTTCCGCGCGGTTTGGCCTTCCGGTTGACGCCCCATCCAATCCACCACCTGCGCGAACTCCTCCTGCGACGAGCGGATCTCCAACGTCGTGGAAAACACCCCCCAAAGCCACCCCGTCAGGGCGCGGTGGTGCGCCCGGAGGAGCTCCCACGTCGTGGACGCGAGCACGACCAGCACGACGAGCCCGGCCGCGTCGCCATGGAAGAAACGCGCGAAAACCCCTTCCCGCGGCGGACGCGGAGGGGGTTCATCGGAATTGGGGTTCGACTTTTCCGTTTTTTGAGAGTCCGGGGGGGGTTCATGGGGATTAGGGGGTGATTTTTCCACGTGAAAGGGATCCTGTCGAGATCCTGTACGACCCCAAAGCAGCGTGAGGAGCCCCGCCGGGGAGGTGAGCAGCTGCGAGAGATCCGACGTCGTGAAAGGACGGGCCGAGGAGGGAGGGGGAAGCCGTCGCGCGATCCGCCACAGACCCCACCGCATCGCACGCATCCTTACCTCACTCTGTTTTCTATTATTATTCTTTATTAGTTGCTTTTGTTATTAAAAGTCCTTCCTGTTGGAATAAATTAATATAAGGGGGGTTTCCTCCGAGTTGAATCACCGCTAACGCCGAAGTCGCGCGGGAAAGGGAAGGGGGCCGCGCTGCGTGAACCCGTTTAACTCACGCGGAAATGTGTGTGAGGGGCAAACGTGATTTCCCCTTCACCTCCCTTCTTTTTTTTTTTTTTTTTAAGAAAAGTAACATAAAGAATCAAAATAATTTTTCTAAAAAGTGATGAGACGATAGAACGAAAAGGTAGCGATAATGTAGGTTGGTATCAGAGAAAGTAAACATTGAAGTTTCGTTGCGGCATCTATTGCCCACTGTAAATTCGAGCAAAGTAGATCTAGGAGTGGCTAAGTGCGACTCGTCGAATGCTTTGGTAAATAACAATAAAAAATGTGTTGCTTTGCATCACTTCCTCTTCCATTCGTCTGCCTTCTTATCAAGCCTAGCGGAGGTTTCCATTTTTTTTTGCTGATTCCACGCAAGAATTCGGACAGAAAAAAACATTCCGTTTAGTTCTGCTTTGCCTGGAATTGCGCAATCCGCTCGCGGCGGCGTTTGATGGCCTCCTTCTGGTTGTTCTTCCGCACGCGGCGGCTGTTCACGAGCGCGGGCAGCCACCCACCGCGCTTGGAGTTGTGCAGGAAGAGCGGCACCGCCCGCTTGATCCCATTGCGGTGGTTCTTGTGGGATTGGTTGTGGTTGGTGTGGTTCTTCGATTTGGCCATCTTTCGAGGGAGTTAAAGCTATCAAAAATAATGAATCGATGGATTAAATGTGTATAAATATATATTTTAAGAAAGAAAAAAAGGGAAAATAGTGAATAAACGGATTGAATTTTTTTGAACCCCACCCGGCATCATGTCCGAAGTAAGCAAATACATACACCTCTGCATATGTTAGTTAAGGAAGCGATGAGCCTCCGTTTTTTTTTTTTGGTTAGCCAAAAATGATAAAACGAGTCCAACACGCTGATTTGATAGACCATGGATGGTTTCCATGGTTGATTCCATGCAAGAATCCCGGCAAAATAAAAAAAAGAATTCCGTTTAGTTCTGCTTTGCCTGGAATTGCGCAATCCGCTCGCGGCGACGTTTGATGGCCTCCTTCTGGTTGTTCTTCCGCACGCGGCGGCTGTTCACGAGCGCGGGCAGCCACCCACCGCGCTTGGAGTTGTGCAGGAAGAGCGGCACCGCCCGCTTGATCCCATTGCGGTGGTTCTTGTGGGATTGGTTGTGGTTGGTGTGGTTCTTCGATTTGGCCATCTCCCGAGGGATTAATCTATCAGCCTTTTGTTACTCTTTTTAAAACGTTTATTTTTGTTTGTTTGTTTTCGACATTTTCGAATAATAGTAATAAAAAGTGCAAGAGAAGAAGTTGGTACCACACATTTGTTTTTTTTTCCTTCTCCCCCTCCCCCATTTATTGAAATCCACAATATCGTCTCCTACAAGACAACCGCAAGGTTCTCGTTTTTGTTATCCAAGATATTAGCTAGCATTAATTAGTAGGATTAGAATGATAATGATGATTCTCATTCTCTCTCTCTCTATATATATATATACATTTATTGAGGGAGAGATCGATATCTTATTCCTTTTTTTCGAATCCATCCTCCCCCTCGGGCTTCTTCGCTTCCGGGCTTCGAATCGACCGAAGGCTAATCCACCGCGCGACGGCATCCACGACGTCCGGGCAAAGCGGCCGCAACGCGTACCCCAACTTCCCGGAAAATCCAAAAATCACCTCCGAATCGCCGTGGAGGGCGGCGTCTAGGCAGATTTTCGCGCAGGTTTCGGGGGAAATCCCACGTCGTTGCGACCCGGGAAGCGGTTCCCCGCTCGCGGTGATCACGCGACGATGAAAATCGGTATCGACGTAGCCCGGGCAGGCAATCGTGATCGGCACCCCTGCCTCCCCGCGGAGGGCGTTCATAAACCCCTGCAGCGCGTGCTTGGACGCCGTATAGGCGCTTCGCAAGGTCGACGGCAGCACCCCCGCGAGCGAGGAGACCACGACAATCCGACACCCCCCCCCGCCGGCGTGATTCGCGCGGAGTTGCGGGAGAAACGCCTGGAG